GCTGCTTGTGTCTGTACAGAAAAAGGACCATGAAGCTGCTAGTCCAGACCATGAGGCCCCAAAACATAACATCAGTGAACAAGAAAATGGCTGCACTTACTGAGAATACTAGTCTTCCTGAAATGGTTGAGGAACAGTATCTGTACATTTTTTCCATGCTCATATTTTTGTTATTTGTTGGGCCAGTTACATGTTTTACAACCGAGATATTTAACACAAGATGCAAGATCCAGCAAAGAAAACAGGAGAAAATGATGCACTTTGGAGATTTAATTTTGAGTTCCATCCACAAAGAGATACTGGGGCAAAGTTTCATGGCCTGAAAGCCACTGAGGAGGCAGGTGGTGCTGAGAGTAACCCCTCTGGCCACTCTTTGTAAATAGAAGACAACTTTACATCCAGCCTCTTCCAGGAAAGATTTCAATCCAAAAGCTGCCATTGTCTGAGGGATCCCTTTAGAGAGAATAACCAAGTTGTTAGCTAAGACCAGCTGGCTGAGAATTAAGTCTGTGGGTCTCAATCTCTGTGCCATGATGAAAGTAAAGTTATAAAGGCAAAGGAGTGAAGAATTTCCAAGGATTCCAGCACTAGTCTGAGTGAGTAAGGTAATACCCCAATTCAAGTTAATATACACCAATCCATCCATGTGGAAAAGATGTTGAAGTTTGAATTTATTTAAATCAGAAGAATCTGCAGACTGAGAAAGAAAATTGGGTTTTTTTCATCACATCTAGAACATGCTTTTTCTCACAACACCCATTATTCAAAGTGAATATGAACATTAATAACAGGTCTTTTGTAAGTACAAAGGTATTTCTTGCAGAATTATTATTTGTAATACCAGAATGACTGGACTCCACCCAACCTCAATCAAAGAGAACTTGAATAAACCCCAGTGCATCCCCATGGTGAAGCATGGGGCAGCTGTGTACGTTATAAGGATGTTCTCTTGGCAGCTGACCCTTCAGGACATACAGTTTTATGGAGGGGGCAGGGATAATAGAAAAATAAAACTCAGAACATCATGTGCAATTAGCTGTATATAACCAAAGATAAATAGTATCTTGGTACGCTTGTGTGAGTATTTGTGTCTATAGTTTTATATTTATAACATGAAAGAAGTAAGGAAACCCTTAAAAGGTGAGTACTTGTGAGGGACAGAGGAAACTGCAGAGAAGACAGGATGAAGTTAGACTAATGTGATTGTGTCTTTCTTGTTTTGGTTTAGAAGTACATAATTTTTTGAATATACATAATAGCAAAATATATTAAATATAATCCACAAATCTAAAAATGAAACCTAAAAAAAAGAAGATAATTTCATGAATAATTAGGACTAAACCAAGCAAAGACCAATTATTTTCACTAAATTTTTTTTTTCCTTTTTGTCTTTTTTTGTGACTGGCAACGGATCGCAACCCTCAGTGTCGCGCCTGTACCGGACCGGGACCGGCCACGGGATCACAACCCTCGGTGTTGCTCCCGCTCCTCGCTCAGCCAGTGAGCGGCCGGTCTGTATGTGGGATCCGAACCCTCGGTGGGAGTGCCACCGCATTTTCACTAAATTTTAAGGAAAATTATTTCACTATAGTTTTGTAAATAATTTATATTATGTTATATATTATAAATTCATAAATTATTATAAAAATTTTATAATATATTATTAACATAATAAATAAATTTGACTTTAAATCATAAAATATGTTTATTTTATGATAAATTTGACTATTGTAAAATAAATTATATATGAAATATACAGTCAAAGTTATTAATTAACATATAAATATGTATAGTCAAAATTAGTTCATTTTTTCCTGAGGAAATAGCTGAATCCAGTTAGGACAGGAGATAAAGATTAGTTCAGACCCTTTCATTTACAAGAAAGCAAAGGAGCTACCAAATACCATCAGTTTCATATGACCAGAGCACAAAATATATCATGAAGGATTCCCAATAGAAAAGGATGGGAATTTAAATTACTAATAAATATTTGTAATATATTTTAAATATTTACTTATTTTATTTTTTTATGTATTGGAACATAATTGTTTGTACATATCTGTGGGGTACAGCACTGAATATCAATAGCTGTGTGCAATGGTGATGCTCAAATCAGGATAATTAGTATAGTCAACATTGTACAATGTAATAATTTTTTGTGGTCCTTTACCAATTACTCCCTAACCCCAACTCCCCAAACCCTTTCCCACTTCTGTTGGCCTCAGTTCTGTCCTCTCATTTAACGCATTCAACAAATTGTTGTGATTGTTATAGCTTTCATTTATTTATTTATTTATATTAATTAATTAATTAATTACCTCCCACTATGACTGAGGCCATGTGGTATTTCTCTTTCTGTGTCTAGATTATTTCACTTAACTTAATTTTCATTTATTTAATCTTTGTTGCTGCGAATGGCAGAATTAAAATCTCCTTTATAGCAGAGTAGTATTCTCTTGTGTGTGTATACCACATTTTCCTTATCCAGTCATCTGTCGATGGACATTTAGTTGGCTCCAACTCTTGGCTATTTTAAAAACAGCTGCAAAAATCATGGGAGTGCAGGTATCCCTTTGACATGATGATTTCCATTCCTTTGGTTAAATACTCATCAGTGGACTTGCTGAATCGTATGACACTTCTATCCATAGTCATTTAAGTAAACTCCATACTGTTTTCTTCAATAGCTACACTAATTTACAGTTCTGCCTACGGTGTGGGAAGTTCTCCTGTCCCTGAATCCTCACCAGCATTTGTTATTCTCAGTCTTTTTGATAATGGCAGTCTGACTGGGGTGAGATGATATCTCAAGGTGATTTTTGATTTGCATTCCCCTGACGCTTAGTGATGTAGAGAATTCCATCACGTGTCTGTTTGCCACTTGTGTATCTTCCTTTGAGAAGTGCCTATTTAGCTCCTCTTGCCTTTTTTTCAAATTGGGTTGCATTTTTTTTCTCTTAAGTTGTTTGAGTTCCTTGTGTATTCTGGATATTAATCCTTGTGTGATGCAAAGTTTGCAAAAATTTTCTTCCGTTCTGTAGGTTGTCTTTTCACTCTGCTAATTGTTTCTTTAGCTTTGCAGAAGCACTTTAGCTTGATATAATCCCATTTGTTTATTTCTTCTTTTGTTTTCTGTGCTTTTGGGGACTTATTCATAAAGTCTTTGCCCAGTCCCACATCCTGAAGTGTTTCCTGTATGTTTCTTTTAAGAGTTTTATAGTTTCAGGGTTTATACTTAGGTCTTTAATCGTTTTTGAGTTGATTTTTAAATAGGGGGACAGGTATGGGTCTAGTTTCATTCTTCTACAATATGGATGTTCAATTTCTCCCCACCATTTATTGAAGAAGAAATCTTTTCCTCAATGTATATTCTTGTTGCCTTTGTCAAAGATCAGTTGGTTGAAATTTTGTGGGTTGATTTCTCGGTACTGTATTCTGCTCCATTAGTCTGAGTGTCTGTTTTTATGCCAGTACCAAGCTCTTTTGGTTACTGTAGCTTTGTAGTATAATTCGAAGTTGGGTAGTGTTATACCTTGGATTTATTAATTTTTTGCTCAGGGTTGTTTTGGCTATTTGCAGTCTTTTGTTGTTTCATATAAATGTTAGAATTGTTTTTTCTATTTCTTTGAGTGATATCATTGGTGCTTTGTTGGAGATTGCATTTGATCCTTAGAATGCTTTGTGTAGTTTAAGCATTTTTACATGGTTAATTCTTCTAGTCCAAGAACACAGAATTCCTTTTCATCTTTTTGTGCCTTCTTTATTTTTATCAGTGATTTGCATTCCTAACTATTCCTTTTTGGGTGACTATTGTAAGTAGGATTAATTTCTTGGTTTCTTTTTCTACTAGTTCGCTCCTGAAGTATAAAAATGCAACGAATTTTTGCATGTTGATTTTGTATCCTATAAGTGTACTTAATTTATTTATCAGCTGTAAGAGTTTTTTTGTAAAGTCTTTAGGTTTTTCTCTATATAGGATCATGTCATTGGCAAACAGGGACAGTTCAACTTTGTCTGGATGCATTTTATTTCTTTATTTCTTTCTCTTGCCTGATTGTTTTATCTAGTACTTCCAATCTTATGTTAAATAGAAGCAGTGAGAGAGGGCGTCCGTGTCTTGTTCCCATTCTTAAGGGAAAAGCTATCAGCTTTTCCACATTCTGGGTGATATAGTTGGTGTGCTTGTCATACATGGCTTTTATTGTATTGAGATACTTTCCTTCTATACCTAATGTGCTGAGAGTCTTTATCAGGAAGGGATGTTGAATTTTGTGGAATGGTTTTTCTGTGTCTATCAATTTTTGATCATGATCATTTAATTTTTTCCTCAATTTTGATGAAATGAAGTTTCACATTTATTGACTCACATATGTTGAAGCATCCTTGCATCCATGGAATGAACCCCACTTCATCATGTTGTATAATTCTTTTGATGTGTTGTTGTTCTATTTGCTCATATTTTGTTGAAAAATTTTGCATGTCTGTTTATCAGAGATAAGGGTCTGTAGTTTTCTTTTTGTAGTATCTTTGTGTGGTTTTCATATCAGGTTGATGCTGGCTTCATAGAATGAGTTTGGGAGAATGGCTTCTATTTCAATTCCTTGGAAAAGTTTGAGTAGAATTGGTAATAATTCCTCTTTAAAAATTTGGTAGAATTCAGCAGTAAATCCACCTGGTCTTGGAATTTTCTTAATTGGGAGACTACTGATTAATTATTCAATCTTGTTGCTTGTTATTGGTCTATTTGACTTTTCTATTTCTTCTAGATTCAATCTTGGCACTTTGCACGCATCCAGAAATTTATTCATTTCTTCCAGTATTTCAAATTTGTTAGTGTATATTTGTTTATAATAGTTTCTAATGATTCTTTGTATTTCTGTTGTATCAGTTGTAATGTCTCCTTTTCATTTCTGAGTTTTCTTATTTTGTAACTCTCCATTTTTTTGTTAGTCCAGATAATGGTTTGTCTGTTTTGTTTATCTTCTTGAAAAACCAACTTTTTGTTTTG